ATGTCAATTTTCCCAAAATGGACCTTTGGAGCTAGGGTAAATCTAGTGAAAGTCAAGCTAATTTGTATAAAAATTGACAAGCTGATTTCAAAATTGATAAAGTGGCGCAAAAAAAATAACAACGATAATCTTCAAAAACAAAGCTGAAGAACTTACACTACAGGGTCATTTTGCCTTCATCATGGTAAGCCCTCATAGGCTGGCTGGTCAGCCAGCACCATCATAGATTACATGGAATCTTCTAAAAATCTTCCATGGCACATGGGAGCTGAGGCAGACTCTGGGGAGCTAACCTCAGACTCAACCTAGGACTAAAAATTCCATGACCTCATTTTATTTTGATGTGGCTTCTCAAATTGCCATTGAAGGAAGTGAGTACCCAATGGGACATTTTCCTCTTGCAGTCCTAAAGAAAAGGCGGAGCCAAAGTTCATCTGACTTCCCTGGGAACCCACTCACTAGGCTCCCTTGCCCTGCAGCATGCTTGTCATCAGGCAGCATGTCTCACTGCTGGCTCCCTTCAGCACGGTCCCCTCCCTTCTTCTTTTACTCATGGAGTCAGAGGATCGGGTTCCACCTCTGCTCTGAATGAGCCCTCCAGTGTGTATCCTGCTGTGAGGAACAACACCCATGGCTCAGTCTTCCTGAAGACCGACCTCCTGGACCGCCTCTCTATGTCACAGAAGACATGCTTTGATTGAGTGCCCCCAGCCTTGACCCTTGAAATGCAACCAGGAACAAGAGCAAATGAGAAATTCTCATCTATCTCTATGAAGTGAGTCTTTCAAAAACTGTCTACTGGAATCATCAAAAGTTGAACATCATTGTCATTCCTGCTAACCACAATCCAATCATCAACCTGCCACACCACTACTTTCAACTCCCCAAGAGAACTCAGCCTACCCTTTTGATTAGGAGAGTGATTTTTATAACAATAGTAAGAAGAATTCAAATTCAAGTACGTCAAAGTTCAACACTTCAACACTTCAATATAACTTCTAAAATGTACAGAATAGGCGTTTATGTAAAATTACTTTTGGCATGTATATATTTATACTCATAATTTAGCTATAAATTCTAGCAAATGCTAAAGAAGAATCTGAATTGCTTGCACAAGCAATTTCATCAACAGACTATTTTACAGCAAAATAGCATGGGGAGTTTCAACAATGTCTAAAAACCCTAAGACTAAAGATGAGATGGAATCTTAAGCAAAGATTTTCCTTTATCTATATCTTGCTGTATTTAGAAACATCTATGTTAATATATAAATTTAGCTACTGGCTGTGCCAGATAGCAAACCGTGACCTGTTCTTTAGAATAGAGTAAATCCTCTCATCCAAGGTCCAGGGAGAAAGGAGATGTGTTGCACGACTCCTCAGAAAGGACAGAGACGTGGTGGGTAGAGAACATAAACATTCTCTAGAGTGGAAGCAGTGGAAAAGGAAGACAGATTCTCACAGCTGAAAACCAGTAGACGAAGCAGTCAGACAACATCTTCCTACAGATGTACACAATACCTCGTGGGCGAGAGAGAATTTCTGAAGAAGAAGACAAACAGAAAAGACCATGGGCAGCAGGGGTAGATTTTAGAGATTACAGATGAGAACCCCTCACACAAAGGACTAAAGGCCCCAACCAAACACACGGATATTGAGTTGATTCTGACTTGTAGCAACCCTATATAGGGTTTTTCAAGATTGTATATATTCACGGGAGCAGATAGTCTCATCATCTTTAATATTTGGAGCATCTGGTGGGGTTGAACTACTGACCCTGTGATTAACAGTCTAGTACCTCACCCAAAGTGACATCAGGGCTCATGACTGAAGATGGGTATATGTTTTAAAAGAGGAGGACAGTTACCACTCAGTAGTTTAAAATTAACCACAGAAAAACCATCATTGTGTGACCACCTTCCCCACATAAACGCTGAAGATGAATGTGTGCATAAGTAAGTGTGGTGAAGAAGGCTGATGGTGCCTGGCTATTGAGACCTATAGCGTCTGGGGACTTAAAGGCTTAAAAGTAAACAAGCGGCCATCTAGCCCAGAAGCAACCAAAATGTGTGATCATGAAGGTCCAAAGGGACCAGGCTTCAAACACCAAAGGCGGGGGCGTGGGGGTGGGGGTGGGAATCTTATCCTCGTCAATGATGGTGGCGCGTGATGGGGACCCAATGCCCATCTCTAGACAACTGGACATACCTTGCAGAGGGGTAGTGGGGAGATGATGAGTCACTTAGGGTTCAGTATAGCAATAATGAAACCCACAACCTTACTCTAGTTCTTAAATGCTTCCTCCCCCCAACTACCAGGACCCCAATTCTGCCTTGCAGACCTGATTAGACCAGATGATGCACAGCGGTACAGATGGGAATTGGAAATGCACGGAATCTAGGACAGATGAACCCCTCAGGACCAGGGGAGACAGTGGCGATACCAGGAGGGAAGGGGGGTGTAGAAAGGGGGAATTGATCACAGGGAGCTACATATAACCTCTTCTCTGGGGGACGGGCAGCAGAGGGGTAGGTGAAGGGAGACGCCGGGCAGTGTAATATAAGATATAATAATAATTTATAAATTATCAAGGGTGCATGGGGAAGAGGGGAGGAGGAAGGGAGGGGGAGGGGAAAAAAGGAAAATGAGCTGATTCCGGGAACCCAAGAGGAAAGCGAATTTTGGGAATAATGAGGGCAACAAATGTATAGATGTGCTTTACACAATTGATCAATGTATTGTGATGAATTGTATGAGCCCCAATAAATTGATTTTTTTAAAAATTAACCACAGAAAAGGCTACCTTTATCAAGCACTTTTATTTTTATTTTGTTGTATCGTTCTCATGGGCATGTTAGAAATTGACATACACAAATATCTACCCACAGATGCAAATGTTCAGTAAGTTCTCACTGAAGAATAATGCTTGTCTCCCCATTCAGTCAAGGAAGCATATAGCATCAATTACTCGGTCAAGACTCTCTACTGCTACCTGGTGGCAAAATACACAGATTGAAGAAGCAATAATACCATAGAAGCTGTAATGAAAAAAATCAGTGGCACAGTAATCCAGTGACAAGGTTTGCAGGAGAGACATAGATCATTCAGGAAAACAAGAAATATACTCAGATGGTGAGAAATCCATTAGGAAGAATGAAAGGTGCAATTTTCAAGAATAGCCGAATCCTGAAAATATAGCTCTTTTCTTAAAAGAGGGGTGGGGGTGGGGGGGAAGGGGGAGGCGCAGTAGGGTGGCAGGGAACAAAACAAATCTCACTATTGCAATAGATTGCTAAATTTCCAAATCTGAACCACAACAAAAACTAAAAAAGCAAACATCCCACTGGTGTCTACATATGTTCCTCTCTATGTAAGAGCACAGTAGTTTTCAAGAACCTATTTATTTAAAGTCCATGAAATAAAGTCTACCATATGAACTTCAGTGAAGGAGTGTGGGTGAACATAGACCAGCACACCGACCACTATGGTCCTCACATTGTCTTCCTCATTTTCAAACTGAAGTCTAGTCTTACACCAAGGGCTCTTGGTTGGTTTGAACAGAACAGAAAGAGATACTATGGAACCGCATGGCTGACCATTCTTAGTCCCACTCAAAGTACAGCCATTTCTTGCTGGTGTGATGGACCTGCAAGAGATGAATGGAAGCAAAAAGTTCCTTTCTTCACAACAACACAGTGTTCTGAGCAAAACAAAAATATAATGAATATAAAAAGGATAACTCACTCACTGTCAAGTTGATGCTGACTCATAGCAACCTTACAGGACAGGGTAGAACTGTTCCCATAAGTTTCCAAGACTGTAACTCTTGATGGGTGTAAAAAGCCCCATCTTTCTCCCAAGGAGTGGATGGTGGTTCTGAACTGCTGATCTTACAGATCGCAACCCAACGCATAACAACTAAGCCACCAGGGCCAAGTTATTCAGCCAGGGTAACAAATCAGTAAAGAACAATATCAGAGTCATTCCTGCCTCATCAGAAGACTCTCCATAAGTACTTCTGCCGTCACAACTGATGTACCAATCAGATATTCTTGGTGAACTTAATATATGAAACATACACAGTAGTTTTGAAGGCACTGTGTTTTGTATATGTAAAGCTATCCCAAGCAATTCCAGATATTCTTTTTGTTTTATTTCCACTCGGGGATGTATATTAAAGAAGGGCTAGGACTAGACTATCCATAAGACTACCTTTAAAAAAAAAACCCTTTATTGGGGGCTCTTACATCTCTTATCACATCCATACATTCATCCATTTCCTAGGTGTTTTTAGTTATAGCAGAGGAATGTCAAATTGCCTCATCTTGGAGATTCATTAGTCCCATATCTTCCAGGTGAGGGAAGACGCCTCAGAGCTCATCCGAAAGGACACAGATTCATTGACACAGGAAAGAAGAGCTCTTCTGAGGACACCTTGCGACAAACACAAGACAGTGTTCCACTATGAACTATTATCCAGGGCAGAAAACACTGTCCTCGAGTGTGCTCCATGCAAGGGCCCAAGGTCTAAATGAAGATCTTTGGTGCAAGAAGGGAAAAGTCAGTCTCTGTCAACTGTGGTTTCCCTCCCAAAGAAAATGCATGCATGCTGAAGACCTGATGTATTTCACCATCAACCTTTTCACCAAAGGACATGTGGAGGTTAAAACTGACCACAGATGCTATGAATGCAAAAGCAAACTACAATCTGTTTCCTATCTATAGGAGCTTAGGAAGAGAAACTTTCAGAAATGGATCGCTAAGATGGATATATTAATGATACACGCTCTGAAGATGAATATGCGAAGGGGTGTCAAATGTCTCCTGGGATAAATGGACATTTTCCATGAATTATTTTGAAGCACCCTTGTATGGCTAATACATGAGCTCTATAACGATCATCGTTGATGCATTCCCATTGGACAAACTTTCAAACATTTCAAATTCAAGATGCGATAGGTTTTAGATACATAAAGAATTTAACGAAGAGAATCGCCCTACCTTGAAAATGAAATCTGCCATCAGAGGTCCTGCGATCTTAAAGGTTTGCCTCTCGGACGTCCTCTGAAATTCAATGGTTGTATTTTCCACAACAAAAACTCCAGGGCTGTTAAAACTGTGGTCTCCTTTGTTCCCTTGAAGTGTTTTTGATTCAATAACTAAAATTACAAAATACAATTCATGTAAGGTAAATATCTAAATGCATGTTATTTCCAAAGGCATTTTGCAAAGGCAAGGGCAGCATATACTATCGCCATGCCTACTCTGTTTAGTCTAACACTCACAGATTCCTATTCATGGGCTAGAACGGTAAGATTTTTCTTTCTAAGTTGCCCAGAGGAGCCAACAAGGGGTCTAGGTTCAATGAGGTCCATACAACTCTGGGATCAGAGAAAAGATTAAAAATTTCTTCTTCATGATAATAGCTGTTAATGAGAGTAGTGTTATCATACTCACTTTATCACTGCTGGGAAGACAATCTCTCATGCCCTCTGTACTTTGAAACCTCCACTTGAGTCAATGGTACTGAAGTACTCTTTAAGGACCTTAAACAAAGACCCCAACAGCGCCAAAACCCAATTCAGATTTTAAAATGAGACGTAGAATGCAGTGGAATGGTCTGGCATTATGGACTGCAACTGCATGGCTGGACTCAGTTGCTTGCATTTGCTGGATTTTCTCTCTGCCCCTGGAGCAGCTGCAGGAATTCAAGCATGCTGGACAGACTGTATAACAAGCATTTGGAGACATCTCTGATTATCCCTGACAGGCAGGCTGGGAACCTTTCTGGGAAAATTCAAAGGCTGGACATGAGCTACTTGATCTGGAGGAGTCATTAGCAGTCAAAGAATAATGCTGGCTCCTTTCAGGCACACAAAACCCCAACCACTTTGGCCCTGGTCTCCATGACCGCAGTAGATTTTTGGAAAAGTGTGAGATTAAGTTCATTTCCTAGCTCCAATGAAGATATTAAATGGAGTACCCTAAAGTGTGCTGTCAGTAAAACTGAGATGGGAAACTGGAGATAGGGAGAGGGCCCCAGACTGGATGCTTTGGGGCTCTCAAGTGAAGCCGGAAAACGGTGAGCAGGAAGGCGACAGCCAAAACCAAAATGGAGTTGGACAACATCCACCCGCGTGGAAGGTGCGCAAGACGCCCACTTTTGAGATTGAGCTCGAGTCTGAGATGACTGGACTGAACGAAAATGATACACAATGAATCCCACCATTGTTCTGGGTGTAATTGTTTCACCACCGTGCTCGCCTTTTGGATCACTGCTTTCCGGGTTTCACGGGGATGCACAGTTGGGGGGGGCAGATGTCAAGATCTAGAAAGACAATCTGGGAAGGAAGGGAGACCAAGTCCTATGAAATCCATCACCCAAACCAAGACCAGCAGGCTCGTCTCCTCCCCGAGACCCCTCTGCAAGGGGATGTCCAGTGGCCTACTAATGGGCTTTGGGTCTCCACTCCGCACTCCCCCACTCATTTGCCATGGTAAGATTTTTTTGTTCTGATGATGCCTTATACCTGATCCCTTCGACACCTTGTGATTGCACAGGCTGGTGTGCTTCTTCCATGTGGGCTTTGTAAGATCCCTTTCAAGAAGAACCTCCCTCCTAAGATTTTGAAGGTAATCCTTTCAGGGAAATTTGGGAATGTGTGTTCAGTATAAATTGAGGTCCAGGATTGGAATGGAGCTATCAATTTAGGATCTAAATTCTCCTAGATCATACAGATTACATAATTGAATTCCATTCCCTAGCAAAGAAAGTAATCGTATGTTCCTGGGGGTTCTCCGTTCTTGATATCACTATAATTGGGAGAGTTGGTAGTTAATGTGGATCTAAAAGAAGGCTTCATTGTTATTTTTTAAAGCTTATTGGTTATTACCCTCAGATATATATTTTTGCTACAGTTGAGAATTTTAAAAAACAGCTGCATAAGAAAACAAAATGGTTTCTACATTTAGATGTTTAGATGTATTAATCAAGTTCTTGGTCAATGAAGCCAGTTCCATCCATCATCCAGGAGAATAACTTACAGAAACATTTCCAGGGCCAAGTGTGAGACTGGTCAGAAGGACATTTTTCCAAACACTACATCTGTAACTTTTAGAGAAACAGAAACATTTTTCAAGCTCTGACCATGGAACAGATCCAGTCTTGAGTATAGAGTTATGCTTGATATGCATGCAAGCGAGTGTTTTGCTTCAAAGCACTCACCTTTAAAAACTGTTTACTTATTTTGCTTGAGGAACTGATAAAATCAATTTTAGAGCTGACTCTTTGGCAACTCCCTATAGTATTACCAAAAACTCAGGCTCAGGAATTTCTTATGTTTAAACATCTTTATTTCTTTATGTCATAACATTCACCCACGTGAAGTGTACAAGTTAATGAGTTTTAGTTTATTTACAAGGTTGTGCAGCCGTCACCGTTATCTAAATTCAAGCACCCCAAATATCTCCGTGCTTTTTAACAGGCATTCCCCACCCTCAACTGACCTTGTCAAACAGTACTCTCCTTTCTTTCTACCCCTTTGGACTTCACTAGTCTGCAGAGTTCACATAGCGGAAATCCTACAAGAGATGACATTTTGTGACTTCTCTCACTTTCCGTAAGTTCTCAAGGTCCATCCATGTGTTAGTGTGTTAGTATGCTTCAATACTTTACTTATTGCTGAATATGATATGATTGTATGTATCAGCCACATTTTACTTATCCTCTTCATCAATTGATGGACATTTGGGTTATTTCCGTCTTTGGGCTCTAACAAGTAATGCTGACATGAACATTTGTCACTTTATAAGTTTGGATCCAAACAGATACTTTACAACATGATCACTCCAACGAGTCACCAAATTTCGATCAGAATAATGTTCACGGGTTTCCAAACGGCAAACTCATATTTAAAAGGAAAAAGACTTACTGTCCTTAAGGGGTGATATAACTTAAAGCCATGTAAATGAGGAGTTAGTGCTAAAAGGACTGAGGGTAGATTAGGCAGATACATTATCCTGACTATCACTAAGTTTATTCCAACTCATAGTGACCCTGTCCAGACCTCCAAAACAGAGGCTGGAAGAAACCAAGAGAAACAGATACAGATGGCAATCCTGGAACCCAGCGTTTCAAAGGAAAAGGTAAGGATGTGAATAAAATCCTGGTGAAAGGAAAACAACAGATAAAAATAAGAGGCACGAGGAGAGGAAACTGCCAACAGCACAGTGTGGCCAAGGTGAAATATAGGAAACAGTGTTCAGATTGGAGCAGGATCACTGGCTTTGCTCACCCAAAAATGCATCAGCAGTCACATTGGGGATTGGCAATTAAAGAGATGTGATCTATCCCCTTACCTTGCACAATCACCCAGTGACCAGGGATGTAGCTCCCCACCCACCACCATCCACCTGGGGTCACAAAAACCCACCCCACCCCTCACACTGCCAATTCTCCACTTTTCCCCCTGATCTATCTTCTTAGTTATTCCCTTTGCCCCCCCCCCCCAATCCTCCTTCTTTTCTGTCCCTTCACTTGCCTCCTCAACCCTTGTGTTTTTCGATCCTGTGGAACAAAGGCTTTCTTGCGAAGCCAGCATTATATCCTCAATACAAACTGTGTTTGGAAGTTAGCCTGATTACTAGGAGTGGCTACACTTTCCCTCCTCTTCTTTCCTTTTTCATTCTCCCCCTCCATCCCCTCCACATTTACTTTTTCTTCCTTTTATCTCTCATTTTGTTCCTTCTTTTTTTGAACCTGCAGAGTGTACCCCCTTTCCGATCCCTGCAGCCTGCGGGCTCCATGGAGCTGGGGCATAATCTACTGAGTGAGTTCTGCATTCCCACTGTAGCTGTGTGCGGTGTTGGGTGGCATGGAGCT